TCAAAAAGTTCTAAGTATTTCATGTGCGTAATTTTTATTGACATTATTGGCATAAGCATAAAAAGGTTCTCATTGGAAAGACCATCTGTAATGTGCGTAAATTTGAGAAATATTTTTCACAACTAGAATCGAAATAATACTACGAAAATTGGAAAATTCTAAGAACATAGAAAGCTGCTGAGGCATGTAGGAACTAGCGCTGAGAAAGTAGAGTTCGTCGCCTAAGAAATAGCCTCGTCCCCTAGCGACAACCTTGTCTTTTGGCGACGGAGTTATTTTCCAGCGACAGACTCTGTTGTCTCGTGCTGTGTTCTTCCAATGCCGAGCCAGAATTCTGCCTTCTTGTTTTGACTGGTTCTTACACTGTTGACTAAATTCTACTTCCTGATTGAGTTTTTCATTCTTTTTTGAAACCCATATGTGTTCTACATATGGACATAACCCTCTGGGAATTCATGCTCCATCTACTCAATCGAACACTCTTGGCAACGAAGGGTACATCCGAGATTGTTGAATTCACCAAACCATGGAAGCGAGTTTAACTCACGGGGTCCCATCCACACGCGCCAACCCTTTCTAAGGTAAGGCTTCCAACGCGGTGCATCCGGACTCATAACCATGGACCCTCTTTGATAACCTATATCCTTGAAATTTAGAGAACTAGAGCCATGGTTAGGTTGCAAACTCATTGCATCATATTGTGACTACTTGACTACTTGTGCATAACCTATGTGTGTTTACACTAATCATTTGTTTGACTTGTGATTGAGTCTAAATAAACTAATTAATGACTAAAAGGAATTTGCCTAATTAATTAATTAACTTAACTAATTAAAGGCTAACAAATTAATCAAACCGACTTAGTACGACTTTAGACCTGTCCCTTTAGAGTAAAAATACTGAAAATAGTCCCATATAGATGTTCCAGCAATGATGCAAAGGTTTGGGTTGTGGCACCAAACGCTGATGTGCAACGTCGGGCGACAACCCTGTTGTCTGGCACTGCACTTTAGTGTGCGGCGACAGTTCAGTTTATTGCTCGAGTCATAATGACGAGTCTGATCAAACAGTTTATTAATCAGTTTGATCAGTTTATTAATGGAAGTAGCCATATTTAGCATTTAATTGAGTTTAAGCACTTAGTTCCATGGTCATACACAAGAGTCAAAGCATGTCATTTGCACTCACTAATAAAACACACACTAATATGTATGTACACTTTGACCATGTATAGAGAGTCTTGTATGCGCCTATTTTACGTCATTTTTTTAGGGGGTTAAGTCGGATAATAATCCTCCAATTAAACAACACTTTTTTGAACCCACACACTTGATTCCCAAAAAATATACACCCTATTTTTGCTTTTTATTGTTTTTATAAACCACTAAAGTCAAAGTCAATTTGAGTCAAGTCATTAAAACAAATAAAATGGTTTAATTTACAGCGCGTGGTCAAGAAAGGAAGGGTGTTTAATCAAGGACAACACCTTCGTTCAAGTTCAACTTTTTGATAAACCAGTCAGTCGGAAAAGAAAAGCTAAGAAGATAATGGCAAGTCAAGAAGAAGTCAATGAGCTTAAGAAGCAAATGGCTTGCATGACTGAGGTGTTGAAGGCTTTAACCCTTCAAATTAATGACCCTATGAAACAACAGCAAATGGAGCTCGTGCAAGAAAGCTTGAGCAAAATATCCAATGACTATAGATTTCGGGGCATTAGCTCGCTAGGGGTCTTGGTGGACAAGGAATTTCTTCCACAGAAGTTCAATGCCAACGACATCCCTAGGTTCAAGGAAACAAACAATCCTTATTTCCACTTAAGAGATTTCGAGACCATAATGAACATTAAGGGGATTGATAGGAAAGTCTTTTGTTCCTTGTTTTCTTTATCTCTTGAAACCATTTGTGAACAATGGTTCTTTTCCCTTGACAAAGAGAAAACCTGTACTTGGGAATCTATTGTAAACACTTTCATTGATAGGTATAAATGTAATATTCAAGTTGAAACTAATCATAGGGAACTTGAAATACTTAAGCAAAAAGAGAATGAAGGTTTCACTTCTTTCTTTGATAAGTGGAGGGAAACTTCCGCTAAGATGATTAAGGTACCTAGTGAAAAAGAATATGTAAGGATGTTCATTAAGAACCTCCAAGAAAAGTACTCCAAACATCTTAAGTATCAAACAACTTGCATATCTTTAAGGTCGTCTATAACAATGGAATTAACATTGAAGACGACCTTGCTAAACAAAATACTGCTAACAGTAACTGTAACAGTGGCTGGAAAGGAAAGAAGAACAATAATCCTTCTTCTTCCAAAACCACCCACTCAAACAGTGTTAGCACTTTTAATTTGAGTGAAGTCCTCGCCATAAATAATCAAGGACAAAAGAAACCATTTAGGAGGAACTTTACTCCTATTAGTATGAGTTATGACATCGCATTTGACCGATTACATGCAAAAGGTTTTATAACTCCCATTAGACCATTTGGGGATCCACCTATCGAAAAGAGGACGACTAGCTGGAATCCCAACGCACATTGAAAGTATCATCAAGGCAGGGGCCATATCACTGAAAATTGTTGGAAGCTTAAAGAAGCTATCCAAGACTTAATTGATAATAATAAACTCCCATTGCCCCCTGCAAGCAAGAAGCCAAAGTATCAATAATGAGCCACTTTCTGATTCTTTGGCTGTTTCTGATGAGGAAGACCATGGTGACCCCTCATCCCTCATCAAACCAGTCAAAGAGATTCACGCTATCGAAGAAGAGGAGGAAACCTTTTTCGATGCCATGAGTGATTTCCCTCCTGGACAAGAACCCGCACCTAGAGAAGAAGTCTGGATTCTCATACAATCAATGAGGTAAGGAATGGACTTGTTACGTGAGGCTCTCGAATTCACAAAGAAACGAGAAAAGATGGTCCAAAGGAAACATGTCAACAACAAAGTTCCACCCATAGAGAGGAAGTCGATTTCTTTCCAAGTAATTGACACACCCAAAAAGAGTAATAATCCTTACACTCCAATTGGGAATTCCTATGCTAAAATATTCAAAATGCTCTCCGAGAGTGTTAAGATTAAACCTCTCAAACCGAGACCATTTGAATCATTAAAGAGAACGGATAGGTTATATTGTCCATATCATCAATCAGGAGGACATACTATAGAACATTGTTTTAAATTCAAGGATTTAATTCAAAAGTTGATTGATAACAAGAAGCTAGTCCAAATTCCCAAGAACAAGATGTTAGCATCAATGGAGTTTGGGATAGCAATGACTTTCAGTGATATATCCAGTAAGTGACTTTTGTGATGAAGAAGATTAACCCATAGATTTTCTCATAAGATCTGGGAGAATGCAACTTCCCATCACAGCACAACCTTACTACTACTCAACAAGTTCCTATACCAATTATAGAATACAACGATGTTGTCAAGAAATTTAAAAGGACCAAGGTTGAGATGAACGTATGGAAACTTCTAGCTACATTCCGAGAACATAGGGTGGTGGTAATGAATGCTTTGGAGAAGATAGGAATAGACTCTGAAACCACTCCTAAGGGTTGGCTAACTTTCTCACGAGTGATCTTCCTAGTCCCATCAACTTGATCACCTTTTCTGACAAGGATCTACCTCCGAAAGGTGACAAACATTACAATGCTCTAAACCTCAAAGTAATTTGCAAGAGAATGAATGTCCCAATGACTCTTGTAGATAATGGATCGCTAATCAATGTTTGTCCACTTAGAACTGCGAGGAAGTAAGGAATAAGAGCCTAAGACAACACTCGTCGCCAAGATCTTGGAAAAATTAGCATGAATATAACGGCGGAAGTGATAGAGCATGCCACTACCTTCCAAGTAGTGGATTTTAAGGCTTCCTTCAACCTATTGTTGGGACGCCCTTGGATTCATGACTTTAAGGCCGTCCTTTCATCCCTTCATCAACAAGTAAAGGCTATAGTTGGAGGGATCCCTATTACAATTGTTGAAAATCCAATTATTAATGTGGAGCACGATTACAAGGATGAAGATTTGTGGGGCTTTAATGAAGAGGTCTCCTTAATCGAGTAAGATGAAAGGACCCCTCTTTGCTATGACCTCCACTCTAATATGACAATAAATGTTATTCTTAGAAAACAGGGACACTATCCTGGAATGATTCTTGGAAAGAAAAAGGAGATAGCAAAACAAATGGGACTACCTGGCCTCCCTAAATTAGATACTTTTGGACTTGGTTTCGAACCAACTCTAGAATATCTAAAGCAAGCCCGAGAAAAATCTAAGGCGCGTAGGAACGCTCGTACCCAAAAGAAAGCAATCCCAATAGACCAATATCCTCTTACTCTTAATGGACAATTTATAAGAGAAGGAGAGGAATATCCTTGCCACGAATTTCTTGAACCCTTTGTTGTAAATGGCATAAGGCAACATGGGTTTGAAATCTTTCTAGATTGCTATTTTGTAAATGAGATTCCAACTCCTATCCACTAGGGGAAAGCACCCCATGCTTTGACTTAAATGTCATGGGACTCCTCATTGGGCGCGAGAAGAATGAGCCAAAATATATAGAGGGCAATTCCTCGCTCATTCAAACAGTCCTACAAAGTGAGAACTTCGATCTTTCGTAGCTCATCACTCCAGAAGAGGGTTTAGTGCAAGCATGGCGCAAAACGGTAAAGGTGACTACTCCAAGCGGAAGAAAGATCTCCATAACAACACGATCAAGACCAATGTTTGAAGAGTTGTATGAGTTAGAGTCCCATTCAGAGTCTTCCCCTATCGAGTCTTCTAAGTCCTTAGCTGTAGCACCTTCTCCCTCTAATTCTTCTATTTTAGCACCTACTCCTAGGATAGTTAGTAGTCAAGTCCCAGCGGACATTTCTTTATTTGATGTAATGATGTCCAAATTCAATAATATGTATATAGTACAATTATTTAATATATTAAATAATACTTTCATTACTAATATAACGAAAAAGCAGAAATTATACGCTTACCTCCATTCTTATGTGTAGTAATTGTGGCTTACTCATTTTGAAAGCATTTCTTTTGAGGTGTGACCTATATACGTTGTAAGGCCTAAAAAAATCATAAAAAGCATTAGATTAAACGAATGAAAAATAACTTTTAATCACATGCATATGAGTACGTAGTACTAGGAATGTTGTGTACTAACATCTTCATTATTTTGGACAACTCTGAGTTTCGAGCATTCGGAGGTGATTGAATAAAAGAATCAAACTCATACAAAAGACTCATACGCAAATCAATCACATAGAGTACCCAATGATTCCTACATTTCAATAAACTTGTTTATATTATTCACATGATTAAAATAATAAAATTATGAAAAAGTAAGGATTTCAAGGATCAGTAGTACATACGCTTCCATATATGGAGCCAAAAGGAATTTGCATTGTGCATCCTTTTTCCTTAATTTAGTAAGAAAAGCATTTTTCAAATACATTTGGACTTCAAGGAAATCTTTCTTGATTTTAGCTGCAGAAATATTTTAGGGGTACAAGAATTTGATTTTAGTCTTCTGAAATAATGAGATATATTCTTCAATTAAGTACCTGCATTTTACAGAAAAAATAAATAATTAGTAAAATAAATGGATCTAATAAAATATATTTCATAGTAAAACAAATTCAAATAACTTAAATGTATGTTAGTATTTACAATATGTAGACATGGATTAATGAAATATTAGCCCATGCTCCTCGTAGTAATTCAGAGACATCATCACTAGTAACATAAATTTGTGTGTCTTCCTCTTGATAAAACAATGGAGCCTTCAATGGAATTGTCGTAGTATCATAATCTCCACTTCCTGAAGTCATGCATGCAATAATAATACAACATAGAACACTCTGTTCACCAAGACTCTCAACAATATTTTCCGGAATAGTTATGCCTTTTCCTTTAATAGTTGAATGCTCTGAGTTAATAGGTCCGCAACTATCAACTTTCTCTTTGGTTTGCACCAATTCATTATCCATCTTTTTTGCCAAAGTCATAACCTTCAAGAAAAGATAAATATTAATATAATTAAGTTACAAGTATCTTAGATAATTATGTAGCATATCAATGAATTACCTCATCAGTAAAGAAGACTAAATCTGTCGGCCACCCCAAAAAATAACCTTTCACCTGACCCAGCTTAGTGATACCATCATCAGTCTCTTCTGGGAGATTTAGGTGAGAATAATCACTGTAAACATGGTCAACACTAACTCTGTAGATGTCACGGTTCATTTTCTTGTGATGAATCACTCCACTAGGACAAGGTGCAGTCGTTCCATCGGCCACAATCACTGAGTTCCCACTGAACTCATCAACTAAAGCAAGACGACATTTAGTTGGGACCTACATAATTGATCATGTCGTAAGAAACATGAAAGCATAGTCTAAAGTTAACAACTAATAAGTATGAGAAATAAATTTATAATGGTAGTGACTTGTTAGTTACTTAGTTGAATAAATTTAGTGCTTTTGTAATGCTTACTGCTATCGAGCACTGACACGTAAGAATCTGTGTACAAAAACTACTTTTTTGTGAAATTGGCCTCTGGCAAATGGGCTTGGGAGGGTTTATATGGGTCAGGAAAGGGGGGAGGGGGTTGCAAGTTAATCAGTTGATTGGCCTCATTTAGAATTATATGGAAACTGGAAGCATTTATAGACAAGAACAAATCAGGACAGCAAGTTAATCATGCTGGTTGCTCCTAATTAAGCTACAAGTATACTAGTCGTGCTGGTTGGAAGGCTATGTCTGAGCACAGCAGCTAAAGCTCAAGCTCGAATACTGCTAGTAGTGGCAACATCATGCTATGGATCGGGCTGAGGCACAGCAGCTAAAGCTCAGTCTCCTATCCTCATGGTGTCTAATTTGTTTCATTAGTTGATGCTACTGATGTAGTAGACGATCCCTTAAGTTTGTTCAAGTTACTTGTCAAAGTGGTGGATGAGATTGGTGAGGAAAATGTTGTTCAGGTGTGTAACTTTGGGTTCCTTTTTTTTAATATATATGGCAGCTAGTAGACTAATGAAACCTTACTATCTGGTTTTTCTCATATAATATTTCTTGTATATGTTATAGGTAGTTACTTAGAATACCCCAAGTTATAAGACTGCTGGAAAGATGCTTGAAGACAAAAGAAAAAATTTATTTTGGACCCCATGTGCTGGCTATTGCATAGATAGAATCCTTGCAGATTTCACAAAGATAAAGCTGGTTGGTGAGTTCATTGAGAAAGCTAAAAAAGTTACAAAATTCATCTACAACCGGATATGGCTACTAAATCTTATGAAGAAGGAGTATACAGGGGGGAAAGACATTTTAAGACCTACTATTACAAGATATACTGCAAACGTTATTAGTTTACAAGGTGTATTTGACCATAGGATTAGTCTTAAAGATTTGTTTCAATCAAGCAAATGGCTTTTGTGTCGCTTTTCAAGATCAGATGATGGCAAGGATGTGGCGAAAATTGTTTTAAATGCTTCCTTTTGGAAGAAAATGCAGAATGATCACAAGGATCTTTACAAAAATCCATTGTATGAACAATAAAAGGTCAATACCACTCCAACAGCAAATTCCAGCAACAAAAGGTCAATACTAACTTTTATACAAACTATAAGAGCAATATTTCTGGTCAGCATGTAAACCTATCTCAAAAATATATTAACCACACAGATACGCTACAACCTGCGCCATTTCATCCAAGATCATCAAGTGCACACAAGAGGTCACTAAAATGAATTAAATGGCAATATAATGACCTTAGAAAAAAAAAGGCACAAGGAGCACATTTGTATCAGATTTGGCTAAATAGCATCATTCCAGCAAGAACCCGAAGAAGGGCACATATATTAAAGCTTTGGCACATATGATGGCAAAAGGTGTCATACTAAAGGTAATCATATAAATGTACTTTGAGAATGAGTGAAATCATAAATCATTTTGTTGTTTTAACACATATCAAGTTAAATTCTCACAGATATGAATGAAAAAATCTTAGGTACAAAATTAAGAAGCTTAGATAAAATCCATTGTATGAACAACAAAAGGTCAATACTAACTTTTATCTTCAACAAAAACATCAAATAGCAACAAAAAGAATACCACTCCAACGGCAAATTCTACAAACAATACCAACCAACTCAACAAACCTAAAATTCAGAAGACTAAACAACGCTGAACAAACTATCCATCCTAACTCAGTTCTGAATTCAGTTCTGATTTTCAGTTCTGAATTCAGCTCTGAATTACGTTCTGATTTTCAGTTTTGAATTCAATTCAAATTTTCAGTTCTGAATTTAGGTCTAATTTTCAGCTCAATTCAGGTCTGATTTTCAGTACTGAATTCAGGTCTGATTTTCAGTACTGAATTCAGGTCTGATTTTCAGTACTGAATTCAGGTCTGATTTTCAATTCTAAATTCAGGTCTGATTTTCAGCTCTAAATTCAAGTCTGGTTTTCAGCTCTAAATTCAGGTCTGATTTTCAGTTTTGAAATTCAGTTCTGAAAGTCGGCTCTAAATTCAGTTCTGATTTTCAGTTCTGAATTCAGTTTTGAAATTCGGCTTTGAATTCAATTCTGATTATCAATTATGCATTCAGTTCTGAAATTCGACTTTGAATTCAGTTCTGATTATCAATTTTGCATTCATCTCATGTGATAATAATTAAGAGTTCAATCTCAGTCAAATGAAGGTTTACCTCTAACAAGCGAGGACTTAGCTCCATTAGATTGGTTGAGGAAGATGGGGAAGGTTGAGCATCATTTACTTGCAAATCATTAGCAGGCATGTGTGGTATGAAAGCAGAAAGATAAGAATTTACAGCTGCTGTAATGCCTTCCTTTAATTTTTCTTCAAATTCCCGGGTTAAGTTCTCTTTAAATTAATCTAGTTCTTGTAATGAGCAACCATTTTTAGACATGTTTTTACCTTTTACCGGGCCAAATGCTTTTCTATAGCCGACACCAATCTCACATCCACCAAGTCCTTTCACAAATCCACGATGTTCCTTTTTCCCAAATGCTAAAGTAAGGGCATCAGCGCCTCGCTCTGATTGTTTGCACTCTCCTTCCTTAGATTCCTTTGCTTGTTTTTGCAAGTTCTCTTCCTGTTTGACAAAACATAGAAAAAGTTAATTAGATGACCTGAAATCTGTAATGTCAGTAGATTTCTTTGTTTAGATAAACTATGAAATACAACTATATTGGAAATTCGAAAAGTCTCCGTATCTTTTGGGTCAATGCCCCATGTTCCATCTGGCAACCGCTTTTCATGAGCTAAAACCCACTCAAGAGCTCGACCATCAAAAATAGAAAACTGTTTCGACCCAAGTGATGGCGACATTTGTTTAACTTTGCATTTTCCTTCCCCTTTTCACTATTTTCCTGTTTTTTTTTTATAAAAAAAAAGAAAAGAAAAGAGAGTTAAACATTATCATATTCCTCACAATCAGTTTTTGTTTGATTAATTAACAGTGCATGTGAATATGTAGTGTAGACACCCATTTGTGTCTCCCCAAAACCAAACCCAGTGATCAGTACCTTTCGCGTCGAATCATAATCGAATGAAGTGTAAGTGTGGAAAGTTTAGTGTTGCGGATAGTTTTAGTTTCTTTTCTCTTCTCTCTGTTTTTGAAAACCTATTTTAAGAAAACAGCCAATCCAGTTTGGTTGGTCCATGATATGGGTCCAATAGTAGTGTAGTTGGATGGGGCTTGACAAGAGCTTTCCAACGATATAGTATAAGCCCAATTCCGATGAATATTAATGAAGTTATGGCCAGTTTACTAAACTAGGCCCGTTTTGAGCCTCATATGCGGCCCAATGACCTAGGGGAGGGCCTAATATAGATTTATCATTCCTAATGCAATTAGGAATGGTTTTAGTCTTCTATATTCTTCTAGAAGGTTCTTTTCATTCCTAATTCAATTAGCATTGATAAATTGACTTTTGTTGACTTTTCAGAGTTTTAATTAAAATTAAAGAGCATTTTTGAGGAAAAATACGATTTTATCCTCCTGTACGGCAATTTTTATCTGATTTTAAGAAAACGCCTGAATTTCCAGATCAGCGCCAAACGCCAGCTGTAGCGCCTGGCGCTACGCTTGGCGCCTAGCGCTAGCATTGGCGCCTGGCGCTAATGTTGGCGTCTAGTGCCAATAGCTAGCGTTGGCACCAACATCGTTTTATCTGCGCCAGAACTCTGTTTTGATATTTTATCTTTTTGGCTGATTTTTCTATAAATAACGTATTAAAAACTCCGTTTTCGATAACCAATTTTAATCCACAATAATTTACAATCTACAAACTCTCAAAGATCCTCTTGATTTCTTTCTCTCTCTTTTCTTAACTAGCTTTTTCTCAAATACAAAATTCCACATTCATTAGATCTAGACACACCTAGTCATATTCGAAGTTGTCTTCGCCCTAGACGTGAAAGGTTTAATTGCTGAGGGTTTGGTCCCAAATCTCTCTTTTAATTATTATTTAATTTAATTATTGTTGTTTATTATTTTCCTTGAAGTTACTAACGCGTGTATTTTGTTATTAGAAAGACGTACGAGGCATCAAAGTAAGTATTTTGATGGTTTTTATTGATATTAAGCTGTAGAAATCATGTTTAGGTTGTTATTATGATTCCTAGTATCATGTCTAGGGTAATTTTAATATTAATTATGATTAAAAGTATGACGCCTTCTATTTTCTTTCCTAATATTTATGATGTTAGTATCATGTTAGGGTTAAAGCTTTGATTTTTATTGTCTAATGACATGCTAGGGTTTGTTATTAATCTTGTTAGTATCATGCCTAGGATCTCGCTATTATTATGCTTTAACATGATTATTATGATTATGGTTATTTTTATTATGATTTATTATGAGTATTATTATGTTGCTTGATTATATTTATTTTTATTGCTTGATCACACCTTTTATGCATGTTTAAAGGGAATTTGTACTTGTAATCACGCTTAATAAGATAATTTAATAATCTTGTATAGGGTTAATGTGATTATAATTCAAGTGATCGCCAATAATAGATTTATTTGTGCATTAATATTCAACCAACATAGATAAACAGGTTTAGGGTTAATCCTATTGATTGCATGTTAGTCAAAAAGCGCACATGAATACGATCAGAATAAAGTAGAGGCCTATTATTAGGGCAGGTTCAATCTCTTTTAGGTTGGATTTGTACCTTCATCCCCGAACCCTATTTGGTTCAAGACCTATTGGAGTTGACGATCTCTTGGATCGTTAAGGGGTGTACCTTCACCTCGTGAACGGTTTACAAGTTCCTAAAAAAAACTTGTTGGCGACTCTTTTGCTCTAGCTTCTTTCCCTTTGAATGCCACCATACTTTAGTGTATGATCACAGTGGGGTTCAAGCAAGGGGATTAATGCATGAAATATTCCCTACAGTTTTTGGCGACTCCGCTTGGGAGGATTTCTATTTTGATTCCTGAATTTGTTTCGGCAATGATTTAGAATGAGTGGATGAGACTCGAAACGTTCTAAGTATTTCATGTGTGTAATTTTGATTAACATTATTGTCATATGCATAAAAAAGATCTCATTGGAAAGACCATCCGTAATGAGTTAAAAACATAGGATTTTACACGTAGGAAATTTGAGAAATATCTTCCATAACTAGGACCGAAATAACACTGCGCGAAACTGGAAAATTTTATCGAGCACAGAAAGCTACTGAGGCATGTAGGAATTAGCGTCAGCTACCAGAGCATTGGCGCCAGAAATTTAACTGTAGCGCCAGATGACAGGCTTGTCGCCAGGCGCTACAGCTAAAATCTGGCGCCAAGCTCTATTTGCTGGCGCCAAATTCTTCAAATACCGAGCCAGAAATATGCGTTCTAATTTCGACCAATTTTTCGTATTGTTTGCTCGATCCTACTTCCTGATTGAATTTTTTCTCACTTTTCTGAAACCCATATGTGTTCTACATATGGACATAACCCTCTAGGAATTCATGCTCCATCTACCTGATTGAACGCTCTATGCAACAAAGCGTACATCCGAGAATGTAGAATTCACCAAACCATGGAAGCGAGTTTTTAACTCGCGGTGTCCCATTCACTTGCGCCAACCCTTCAAAAGGGAAGGCTTTCTCACGGTACATCCGGACAATAAACCATGGACCCTCTTTGACTAACCCATATCCCGAGCTTTAGAGAACTAGAGCCATGGTTAGGTTGCAAACTCATTGCATCATATTGTGCCTACATGACTACTTGTGCATTATTTGTTGCGCATATATATGTTTTCTTAACCGTTTGTTTGACTTGTGTTGAGATTTAATAAATTAATGACTTAAAGAACTTTGCCTAATTAATTAATTAATTTGAGTAAATAAAGTCTAATATTTTAATCAGAATTGACCTAGTACGACTTTAGGCATGCCCCTGTTGATTAATAACACGGAAAACAGTTCCAGATTGAAGCTCCAGCATTGGCGCCAAAGTCTGAACTGTAGCGCCACTCTGTGGAGTGTGGCACCTAGCGACAGCTCTGTCGCCTGGCGCTACACTACACAGTGCGACGCCATTCTTGTCGTTTTGACGACAGTTTAGATTATTGATTGAGTCATCACCTAGTGTCTAATTAACCAGTTTGCTAAATAATTCGGTTAATTTTTACTGTCAATCATACCTTGTTAAGTCATTAATTGAGTCTAGACACTAAGTCACATAGTCTAGCCACATGGTCATGACACGAGTCTTAACGTACCACCTACACTCACTAGTCTTAGGTTCATGCATGAGTCGGCCTTTTCCGTCATTTGAGTTGGGGGTACATTCCATTCCTAATTCTTCATATCCCTCCATCTACGTAATTTTTTCTTCACATTTTATTCCAATCTTTCTTCACTTCCTCCATCCATTGCATGTTGAATAAAGTTTGAGTCAAATAATTAACAATGAATATCCCCAAATTCCTTTTCCACAGTACTTGGTCGAGGAGAGAAGGGCGATTAATCAAGGACAACACCTTTGTTCAAGTCTCACTTTTTGATAAACCAATTCGTCGAAAGAGGAAGGCTAAAAAGATAATGGCAACTCAAGAGGAAGTTAATGAACTTAGGAATCAATTGAATGACGTGACTGAGGTGTTAAAGGCTTTAAACCTCAAAATTGATGACCCTGTGAAGCAACAACAAATGAACCTCATGCAAGAAAGTTTGAGAAAGCTATCTAGTGACTATAAATTTCAGGGCATGAGTTTACAAGGGGTCACGCTGGACAAGGAACTTCTTCCGAATAAGTTCAACGCCACTGACATCCCTAAATTCAAGGCAACAGATAACCCTTACTTCCATCTAAGAGCTTTCGAAACTATAATGAACATCAAGGGTATCGATAAGAAGATTTTCCCCTCTCTGTTCTCACTATCTCTTGAGACCGTTTGCCAGCAATGGTTCTTTTCTCTCGACAAAGAGAAAACCTCTACCTGGGAATCGATAGTAAACGCTTTCATTGAGAGATACAAGTGCAATATTCAAGTTGAAATCGACCATAGACAACTTGAGATGCTAAGACAAAAAGAGAATGAAGGTTTTACTTCTTTCTTTAATAAATGGAGGGAAACTTCCGCTAAGATGATTGAGGTACCCACAGAAAAAGAATCTGTGAGGATGTTTATCAAGAATCTCCAAGAAAAGTATTCAAAGCACTTAAAATATCAACACAATCTGAATACTTTCAAGGCCGTTTAAGACATCGGAATTGAAATCGAACATGACCTCGCAAAACAAAAAGCTACTAACAATAGTAACCACAATGGCTGGAAAGGAAAGAAGAACGACAATCCTTCTTCTTCCAAAAACGCCCACTCTAGTAATAATGTTAGTACCTTTGACCATAATGGTGTCTTAACCATGGACAATCAAGGATCCAAAAAGAAACCCAGGAGAGAGTTCACACCCATTGGAATGACCTATGATGCTGCTTTTGATCGTCTCTATGACCGAGGGTTAATCAAACCTATTGGCCCTATCGAGGATCAAACACCAGAAAATCGATCTTCGAGATGGAATCCAAACTCCTATTGCAAGTACCATCGAGGAAACGGTTATACCACTGATGAATGCTACAGGTTTCAAAACCTCATTCAAGATCTCATAGAGGCAAATAAGATCCCATTGCCTCTAGCTAGCGAGAAGATTGGATGATGTCGGAACAAACAACACAAGACAGAGGCGAGCTTCAATGACGAGATTTCATGACCTCTTTTTTCTATTTCTTTTTCATTTTTTCCTTTCCCCAATAAGTCTAGCATAGGCACCTTTCTTTTCCCTTAGA